ACTTTTGTCGGACTTCAGTCAACTGATTGTCCGATAAATCAATCGCTTTATTCTTCGAGGTCTGAGTTCTACACAAAGTCAACAACACTTGAATGGCTAATGACTTCTTAAAGGCACGAATCTCATCGATAAATGAATACTCGACGAATATATCCCATAACTTAAACCCAATTTCCTAATTATTGACAAATCAAACAAAATTAAGATTTTATAGGAAAATAGTTTTTTGAGACTTACGTTATGCACATTAATAAGAGTTTTGAATAATGTATCGTTAATCTGACAATTACTGCAACAAAAAAATTCATTATTAAAATTCATGAAAATCTTAATCAATTTATTATTGAAATTACTTTTTCTTAAAAAATACTTTCAATGTGCTCTCAATGACACCCAAATACCAGTTGTCTTTCGGATAAAACTTTCTACTCATTTGGATCTTTAAAAAATAAATAAAATATAAGTTAACACACAAATCATACCATGTTTTCACACCACTTACAGTCCATATAAATAGTGAATTCAACGCTTTCTGAAGCTCCAAGTGATTGCTTTTGTTTAAAATGGTTACTAAAAACTCCAACACTTCCTTCAAATCTTTCACTTCAAGCGAATCGTCTGTTTTATCCTTAATTTTGGTAATCTGTACCATCAATTGGATAGCCTTTGAGCCCAATTGGTTCTGTTTGGAGGGCTGGAACGGACTCTTTGCCACCGACACTATCGGCTGAATCAACTGCAGAATTTGATCCATATTTACGGACTTGGAGTTCANCAGACATCTGATTCTGAACATAAGGATAGAGTTTTGCTTCTCGTTGGCCTCCTTTTTGTCCGAGTATTTCGATTTGAAAACAGCGGCCAAAGTGTCGTCGAACTGAAACATTTCGCTGTCACTCAAGTAAACCGATTCCTATAACCGACGCAAACATTGAAACAAATACTAAAATCGTAAACAAATTGTCTTTAATGCCAGACCTCGTCGTCGTCGTTCTCAGCGGCCGCTCCCAACGCGTTGATCACATCGTTGCGGAAATTCTCATCCACTTCGCCGGTCGGCTCTTCGTCCTCAGACTCCGATTCGCTCTCAGATTTGTCACTCTCTTCTTCGGCATCCATTTCCTCGTCGTCCACATCCGAGTCCTCTATACCGCCAAACAATTTGTTATCGTTGGACGGGTTGATAGCGTCGACTAAATACTGAACGCCGGCGTTCGTAATGTGACCGCAAATGTGCTTAAAACTCGATAACAACATATTTTTAGTCAGCTTTGAGTTCTTGGTTAACAACGAGAGTATTAAATCGATTAAGACGTCCGCCCAAAGGGGCGCGTCATCGGCCGCCTCCTCGGACTCGCCGTCCACCGCACGTCTCATACATTCGCTTAAGTCCTGTTAATATCACGACAAATGGTATTTAAAATTATAATTAAATTAATTATAAGTCAAACCTTAAGAATATCGTCAATCTCTTCGTATTCCTCGAAGAGTTGGATCGCAACCATGGAATACAAGAGAATAAAAATTCTGATTTCATTTTC